ATATAGGGAAAAGCTGAGGTTAGCCCGCTCGCGCACCCCATTGAGCTGCGGTCAACGGTCGTGATAAAAAACTTTGAAATCGATGGTCAAGATGGCTTAGACGCCCTCTCTTTTTTTTTAATGGGGCGCTGACACATGAGTAATGTTAGCCTCTCTCTTCCATTCTCTCTCTCTTCACAGACCTTCCTCTCTCTCTTCACGGACCTACCTCTCTCTATGTTCAGCAGTAGCGATGAACACGATGCAGCAGTAGCGATGGCAGTGATGCAGCAGCCATTGAAGCCCCTGGGCTTGGGCATCACCTCTCTCTTTATCAGTCATTGAAGCCCTCTCAGCCCACAAAGAGGATGTACACCTCTCTCTCTGTAGCTGCAACAGCAGCGCATCCCTTTCTCTCTGTCTATATGCAGCCATTGAAGCCCTTGAGTTTGGGCATCTCTCTCTTATTAGTAACTATTGCAGCCCTTTTAGCCTACACAGAAATAGAAGCCCTCTCGTCCCTCACCATCAGCAACTATTGAAGTCCTCTCGCTCGTTCAGAAAAACCCTACCTAGCCTCCCAATTGTGGCACACCCCATCTCTAAAGGTACTCTCTCTCTCTGTATTTGACTCAGTCAAATACAATCTGTTGTCTACAATTTCCATCGATTTGGGATTTATTGGGGTTAGACAAAACCATGAGGACCACAGGCATCTCTGTATTGGATGAGATACAAATGTGTTAGATGCTTTCGCATCTCTGTTTTGATAATTTGGTGTGTTATGATAATTTGGTGAATGTTGATAATTCCTTATTTAACTGTTTAAGGCAAAATTAGGTCCATTACATATGCGCAGCAGATATTGTTACAACACACCATGCCACTTGCTCATTTAGTGTTAAAACAAATAAAAAAGAATGCCAAATTGGTTATATAGAACTGATCTAAGATCAATTTTGTGAAAAAATTCGAAATGAGATCAAGCTCTGGTGCGACTAGTTGAAATCAGATGACTCGAGTTGTTTGGTTGAGGTTTTCCATTGAAGAAGTCTCCTAGCTTCCTTACTTCCATACACCTTTCTTCTTCTTTTTTCTCATGTATCTTTACGGGTATTAAAAATTGAGAGCATCATGGGTTCTTGACCCCATTGTGGTGAATGGATGTTCATGCACTTCCAGTTTTGTAAAATGTAATTGGTGATAATGGTGATCTTACATTGCATGGTGAGGTAAACAATACCCGATAAAGATATCTTGTAGATGCAAATATCTGGGAATATATATGCCTTTGTATATACTCTTCCTCGTCCATTGCTACCTTATTCCCTAAATGAATATTACATGAATGTGGCATAAAATATTGGCTGAATTTTGTTAGAAATGTGCTTGTTTAGGAACATAGAGCAGGATTGTTTAATGGCTTACCAATTCTTTTATAGTAACAATGGAAACAAAAATGGATTCCATTGAAGGCGAATGAGTATCAGGATACTTGTATAATATTTGTAATTACCATCAGTACTCCTTTTTCAGGACAGGATGGATGATGTTTAAATTTGTATCGAACTACAATTGCGGAAAATGTTACTTGCGGCCTGATGAATGCATGCTGCTAGTGCACGCTACAAAATTACAAATTAACATGTTACTTATGGCCTGATGAATGCATGATTGGTATTATTAAAATTGAAATAAATTGAGTTTCTTATTTTTATTCAATATCTTCATGTGGCATCTGATGCACCATATAGTGAATCACTTACTCTTGGAAATTATAATACATATGTTGCAAACATTTATTTATTTTTTCAATTGTCTTTATGTCCCATTTTGTTTCCCTTTTTTCTTTTTTGTTGCAGTTTTGTTTTTGGCCATTGGGTTTTTTCGTCCCTGTTGCATTGAGTTTATATCTCAAGTATGTAGTATCTATTTGTTACAATTTTATCTTCCTCTTACAGTGCTAAGGACAAAACACGTAATAAGCTTCGGACCCATAAGAAGGCAGCAGATGTGAGTTGATGGTAAGAAGCAATTGTTTAGAAGTCACGTTTGCAAGTTCATTTTAAAACATTTGTATATGCATGTAAGTTCGTATTTGTACTTTCATTTGGAACACCATTGTCACTCATCAAAATGTGATTTATGTCTTAGGCAAAGAGGACAAATTCATATGGAACAACTTCAAAGGAGGGGCTATGTTGCTTCTTTTTTTAAAAAAAAAAAAATTTGTTGTTAAACTATTGGCATTCTTGATGTAGGTTTTAAGCCATTCACTCAAAAAAAAGATATCGGTTATATGGCATTGTACTCTTTTCACTTCTTTTTGGGTTGTTAGGTGATATGTAAGGTGATTGGGTACAAGGAACGAACTATTATTTGATAATGGGCAGGACTACTGAACTTTATATGAACAATTTTGTTATTGAATGGACTACCCCATTTGGCTGGTAGTTGATGAATTGTATGTAACATTATAGTTATCAAATGCAATGTATTATCACAATGGAAATAATTTGTCAACCTGTTTCTTGAAAGGTTTTTAGATGAGTAGAATGTATTTCAAATTGTTATCAGATGCTATATATTGTCACTAGAGCCCGTCTCGCTAATTGTGAGTCTTTCAATTTGTTAAGTGTAAAACCTCAAGGTCAAGATGATTAACTATAGGGTTTTGATATCTGAACAACCTTTCAGATAGATTTTTCAAGCGCTCCTTACTTCTACAATATAAGGTTGGCACCTTATATAAACTTTTTCCTGCTCTTGGCCGCTAAACTATAAGCCCAAGCTACATGAATTTCTCTGGCTAAAATGAGCAAGGAGTTTTAGATGCATTTTTCAGCAAATTTCCATGCTCATTTCATTGAGATCACCTACATATCCCTCAAAGGTGGTATGCCTAGATCCTCCTTTTGATCAAACTACCATTCTCATCAAAAAAAAAACAAAAAAAGGATTCACAAGCATTCTGTTGAGTGCCTAAAAATATAATGTCCCAAGATCGAATGGAAATCAACCCGTAGTTGGACAGTGAAATCTAAGTGCTTATAATATCCAGTTTTCTTCGCTGAGAACATTCTAGTGATTCTGTATCGAATCCTAAAATTTTAGATCAAACAAATACTCCTAAGTAGATTTTCTACCCAATGTATAGCGCACTTGTGCATCTCAAGCAGTCACTACTGGCAATAGTAAAACAACCACAAAATATGTTTTGGGTAGTTTCTGAAGTGGCCTAAACTGCACAAGATCACAAGTTTCTCATAAGAATCAAGGTGATGAAAGACTCCAAATGCTCTGCTTTGGAATGGCTTACAAATCAAATTAAGTCTAATATCTTCTAGTTTAAGCATCCTTTTTGGATCTTTATAGAAATCTTGCTCAAATAAGAGTCCCAGGACTTAAAAAGAGTTCACAAATATTGAAACCAAATGCACAAAAGGAGGAGCACAAATTTCATAATTCTTTTATCATTAGCATCCCTCTTTGGGGAGTCAAAAAGTAGTAGCAAATACACAGTTTCACTCTATATGTCACACAAAGCACATAGAGAGTGAGAAACAATCAAGAATATTGTACCTACAAACTATGAACACATTAAAGATTAAGAACAAGCAAACCCCCAACTTCAGAGATCTCATGTAACCTCTCCTCATTCTCTAGCCAACCTCTCTTTCTAGCTTAAGAACAAGTAAACACCGCCATCCTAAAAAGGATGGTGGTGGCTCTTTCCCTCTATATCTCTCTATTTGTCTCTGTCTCAAGGTTTCCAAGGAGTCGGAGGTGGCGGGGGAATAGGGAACATGGGTGGCACCGCAGAGAAGATGATATTCTTGTCGATGGAATGTGACTCACCGAAGAGAACAACCAAAGCAGCATTGCCCAGTGAGAGTGGGCTCGATGTAATTGTAGTTTCCTCTATCTTTGAAACCATCGTGCTTGTCAGGTCCTTCCACCATTGCCCCCACAAGTGTGTTTGGGTTAGGCTTGGGCGTGTCCATCCCCATTTCCACCCACCCTTGCAAGAGTACTTGATCTTGTTCTTAGGGATTGAAGCTGCTCTATGGTGCACATGTTTTGGGTTGTGGTTTCCGAAACCCACAATATAGCTCATCTTTCGTGGGTTCTTGCCTAGAATGTAATCAATCTGTAACATGGAAAGTGGTTAAACATTAGTATGAGTAATTTTCAGTATTCATCAACTAAAAGGCCTCTCTATTTCTTTGAAATTGTAAAGTTAAGCAACTAAAACTCTTGCAAGAAGAGTTTTGGATCTCAACACTCGCTCCGTAAGAAGGTTTTAAATTCTCCCAAAAATATTTAGCTTACCTCAAAATTAAGCTTGCATGTACAAGAACAACACTAAGATGGGTCACTCTTAGGATTGGAGTGTGTTGTGTTGTACCTACACTAGCAATGAAATGCTTTTTTCGAGTTCTTTTATTTATTATAAGAAAAATTAATGGGCAATGCTTCCCGAACATTGTATCCAAACAAGAACACTACAAATTTGGCTAAATTTTGCAAGATCTGACATTTGGGATTTAACCCTCAACTGTTTCAGTTTTATGTATGTGTACCTAGTTGAACCAAAGCATTCTTTTTTTTTTTTTGCCTTGAGATTTATCTTGTATATATCAAATGATAGATAACTTACTCAGCAATCAATGAGTAAATTGATTTATCTAATGAAAAAAAAATATTATGTGAGAGTACCTGGGTTCTTGCAAAATTGCGTAGAAAACCAATTTGGCATTAATTTTTATTTGTTTTAACACTAAATAAGTGGCATGGTGTGCTGTAACAATATTTGTTGCTCGTGTGTAATGGACCTAATTTTGTCTTAAACATGTAAATAAGGAATTATCAACATTTCACCAAATTATCATAACACAACAAAAAAAACTCTCCCAAATCTAATGAATTAATTTTATATCATATCAGATAAAATGTTTCAAGCAAACGAACAAAAAACCCACATTCCAGAATATAGAACATGCAGCTTCGATGAATTCACTATTTCTCTCTCTAATCTATATGATCCAATTTTTCGATTTCCCATTCAATCTTAGGATGACCAGTCTAGAAACCCACCTGAACCTCAAAAAACAATAGCAACCACTCTCCCTCTCTATTGTTCACAGGAAACACAAATCCAAACGAGAAACTATCTCATCCAAAACAGAGATGCATGTGGTCCTCATGGTTTTGTCTAAAAACCCTAATAAACCCCTAATCGATGGAAATTGTAGTCAACAGATTGTATTTGACTGAGTCAAATAGAGAGAGAGAGAACCTTTAGAGATGGGGTGGGCTACAGTCGGGAGGCCAGCCAGGGTTTTTCTGAACGAGCGAGAGGGCTTCAATAGTTGCTAGTGGTGAAAAACGAGAGGGCTTCTATTTCTGTGTGGGCTCAGAGGGCTTCAATAGTTGCTAAAAAGAGAGAGATGCCCAAGCTCAGGGGCTTCAATGGCTGTATATAGAAAAAGAGAGAGGGATGCGTTGCTGCTGTTGCAACTACAGAGAGAGAGGTGTTCATTCCTCTGTGTGGGCTGAGAGGGCTTCAATGGCTGATAAAGAGAGAGGGGCGATGCCCAAGCCCAGGGGCTTCAATGGCTACTGTATCGCTACCATCGCGTCTATCTCTACTACTGCATCGTGTCCATTGCTACTGCCGAACATAGAGAAAGGGAGGTCTGCAAAGAGAGAGAGAGAAGGAGGTCCGCAAAGAGAGAGAGAGGGAGGTCTGCGAAGAGAGAGAGGGAGGTCCGTGAAGAGAGAGAGAATAGGAGAGAGAGGCTAACATTAATCATGTGTCAGTGCCCCATTGAAAAAAGAGAGTGGACGGCTAAGCCATCCTGACCATCGATTTCGAATTTTTTGATCACGACCGTTGGGCGTAGTTCAATGGGGTGCGCGAGGGGGCTAACCTCAGCTTTTCCCATATATATATATATATGTGTGTGTGTGTGCAATGCCTGTGGGTGAAAATGAATAGTGTCTTCTCCCACCATCAAAAAAAAGGGCGAAAATGAATAGTGTCTTCACCCATAGGCTCATCACCATTCGAAAAAATCTAGCGGCATGCTTTTTTCGACTGCAACAGACCTAACATGGCCATGGCAGTCAAAAATTTCACTCGAAACTGCAAAAAAAGGCATCCTTCGTTGCAGATCCTTTCAATAAACCGCCACGGACATAGCAAGTCTGTGGCGGTGGAGAAACACTATAGCATTTCGTCTATAGGAGTTTATATATATATATATATATATACGTTTGTCTCGTTATCTATGGCACTTGCTTCTGGGACTCCGAACCTGAAGATTGTATTGTTCTTAATTAACTAGGTTACATGCCATCCCTCAATTTTTTTGAAGGATGGAGCTTCAACCCACTTGGTGAAGTATTCAACGGTTGTTGGAGTTTAACCTATGTCCACTTGATACCTTGGGGGATATCAGTCCTATGACATCGAGGGCCTACCTAGTGAAGGGACATATGGGTGGCGTCAAATTTAGCGGTATAGATGGCACATGGATGAGATCCCCGTAAATTTTTCATTTAGAGCAAATTTTTGCATGCTTCCAATAATCTTCTGCGATCGTGGTCCAGTAATAACCTTAACACCTAATTTCTAGGTGAGGGCTGCTGCCCCAGGATGTCCTCCTTCATTATGCGATTCCTTAAGGATTTGATTGATTTCAGAGTGATCGACACACCTTAGGAGCACTCCTTCAAAGGATTTCCTGTACACTTGGTTGCCTATGATAACAAAATTTACTGAGAATCTTCTTAGGGCTTTCTTACCAAGGTCTGCTTGTGCTTGAACTTGTGCAATTATGGAGAAGACTCCTCATACTTCTTCTCTTTCTTCATCAATTTCTTCTATTTTTGTATTATGAAGAGAGGGGTCGTGTTTGTGTCTTATGTAGAAGGGTTTGACACTCATTTCTGGCGGGATGCTGATTCTTAAAGACAGAGTAGCTAAGATGTTTGCAAATCTATTATTTGGCCTAGCCAATTGTTAAAAAGTGATTTCTTTGAAGTTCCTTATCAAACTCCCTACCTTCTCTTGGTAGGGAATCAGTTTTCCTTCTTGTATCTTCCATGCTCCTTGGACTTGGCTAATTACGAGTGGGGAGTCGCCGATGATTCGTAATCTTTTGATTCAAAGTTCAGTGGAATTTTCGAGCCCTATTATTAAGGCTTCAAACTCCATGACATTGTTTATACAATGGAAGTTCAATCTTACGGCCGTGGGCAACAGAATCCTTTCTGGAGAGCATTGGATAATACCTACACTGGCCCCATATTTATTCTTAGCGCCATCGAAGTGAAATTCCCAATGATCATTTACGTTGAAGAGGTCATCATCGAGCATGTCAGTGTTGACCAGCACGTCATCTAGAATCGCATGTTCCGCTAAGTGATTCGTAATTGCTTTCCTCTTGACTGATTTCTGGGTGACGTGATCAATCTCGAACTCACTTAAGAGCATACGCCATTTGGCCAGTCATCCATTGAGGATTGGTTTTTCAATGATGTACTTCAGTGGGTCCATCTTTAAGATGAGTTCAATAGAATGTGATAAAACATAATGCCTTAGTTTTTGAGTTGCCCATAAGAGAGCAAGGCAGTGTTCTTCGACATCCATGTATTGGGTTTCGTAGATGACTATGTTCTTGTTGAGGTAGTAGATGGTTTGTTATCTTCCTTGATCATCATATTGCTCGAATGTAGTCCCCATTGTCTTATCTTTCACATAGAGGTACAAGAATAGGGGTTTGTTAAGAACAGGTGGGCTAAATAGCGATGGGTTCGACAAGTATTGTTTAATTCAGTCGAACGCTTCTTAGCATTTTCCGTCTCATACAAATGGCATATCTTTTTTCAAAAGCTGATTGAAGGGTTCACATTTATCGCTGATTGTGATATAAAATGACTTACGGCTTGTATTCTTCTTTGTAGGCATTGAATTGCCCTTATATTTCTAGGAGGTGGCATATTGTGAATAGCCTAGATTTTTAATAAGTCTACCTCAATGCCTCTCTGGCTGATGATAAAGCTTAACAATATTCCTAAAGTGACTCCAAAATCATATTCTATGGGTTGAGTTTGAGTTAGTATCTTCGGAGTCAATCAAATACCAGTTTTAAGTTGGCTCAGTGGTCGTCCCTAGTCTTGGATTTGGCTAGGATGTCTTCCACATAGTATTCCATGTTGATGTGAAAAATGTCATGAAAAATAGAGGTCATGGATCTTTGCTATGTAGCTCCGGCATTCTTAAGTCCAAAAGGCATGACTTGATAGCAGTATGTTCCCCATGATGTAATGAAAGATGTCTTTATCTACTCTTCCTTAGCCATGCGGATCTAGTTCTATCTTGATAAGTCGTCCATGAATGACGGCAGTTTGTGTTCAGTAGTATTGTTGACTAGGGCATCTATATTAGGCAATGTAAAGTCGTCTTTTGGGCACGCCTTGTTTAGATCCTTGAAGTCTACATACATTCGGATTCTTCTGTCCTTCTTGAGGACAGCTACTATATTGGCCATCTAATCAGAAGAATTGATGAGCAAGATGAAATTTGTCTTTAAGAGTTTATCGATTTCCTCATTGGCTTTGAGTTCTAGATTGGTCTTTAGTCGCCATGCCTTTTGCTTGACTGGGGTCACCTCTTCGTGTAAGCTGAGGTGATGATCAACTAGATCAGGGTCTAGTCCAGGCATGTCACTGCATGGCCGTGCAAAGACGTCACGATATTCTCTAAAGAAAGCGTTCATCTTGTCTTGCTATTCGGGGGACAGGGAGGTCCCTACTTTGGTTATCTTTGGGTCATCCTCCGAGCCTAGGCTGACGTCAAACATCTTTTTGACAATGACTGTTGAGCTAGGGGTCACTCTTGCCTTTCACCTCAACCCGATCCGAGAAGGAGGGATCGGACTCATGTTGTTAATCAAGTTTTCCCTTACCGGGTTTTTTGGATTTGTTGAGCTTTTTACATTTTCAAAGCTATTTTCCTTAGCAAAATCCGATTTTTTTGTGAAGTTAAACATCTTTTTCTTTTAGCATAGAGGAGTTTTATGGGTTGACCCTATGAGTTATTTGGGATTATGATATGAAAGACAAGGTATATGTATTTTTCCTATTTAGGACTTGCATAAGGGTTTAGTGTGACGTGGTGGTACTTGGCTTTAGAGAGGTAGTTTGTGTGTTCCAATTGTCTCATTGATGTAGGACAATGGTTAGGGGTTGGATACACAAAGAACTGCTTTGTTTTGTGATTTTTGACATGAAGCTAGTGGAATTACTTTGATTAGGAAAATTGTTTCATGCGGGCTGGACCGCATTTCTACATATGTGGTCCAAAAGTATAAAGCATCTATCTTACAGATGGATGCAAGTAGGTGGTCCTTCTAAAAACAATGAAAAATAACGGTCCAAATGTTTTCTTAATAAAATAATTATTTCTAATTTTTAAAATTTATTTATGAATTAATATTCATGGTCTCCATATTAGAGATTACATGTCCTAAAGAATTAAGTCCAAAAATCCATCTCAAAAATAAATTTCTACATGTGCTAACGGCATCCCTTTGATTGTTGTACAGAAAGTTTAGGTTGGATACGTAAGCTATTGTCATTCTCATTCTTTTATTTAGAGTTATTTATGTATGGACTTGAAAATTTTACCTAAAATACAAAATGCTCCTTTTTTACTCAAATATTACAAGGAAGGTGGCTCAACTATTTTTTTTAGTTTTTTCAAAATTACCCCTGGGTCCGAGGATGTCATACTCATACAGCATTTTAATTTTTTTCTTTTTAGTTTTTTGCGTTAATAGGATGGTGCCCCAAGTTTTAGGAACAATGCCTAGGCGGTCCGAGGTTCGAATCCTCGGACCAACAGAGCGGTCTGAGGTCACCATCCTCCGTTGTTTATCTCAAAAAATAAGAAATAAAGAGTGGTCCCAAGTTCCCATCCATGGACTGCTATTTCTTCTCAAAAAATAACACATAGCGCAATCCGAGGATGGGAACCTCAGACCGATGCTTTTCTCAAAAAATTAAAAAGAAAGAGTTGTCCACATCCCCAAGATGTGGACCTCATACCGCTCTAAAACCAGAAAGTGGTCCGAGAATTCGATCCTCGGACCGCCTGGGTACTGCCCTACTAACGAAAAAAACTAAAAAAAAGAAATTAAAATTAAAATGCATTCCAATGATGGCATCTTCAGATCGAGAGGTAATTTTGAAAGAAAAAAGAGGTTGACCGACCTTTGTGAATTTTGGGTATGAGAGGAGCATCTAGTTTTACAAATTTTTTTACGGGCCATACGTAAATTTCCCTTTTATTTATGCATGGGTGGCGATGTGTGCTATATGCAGTTGTTATATGTGGGTTACACCTTTTGTGCCTTTTGCTGTCTTTCTTTAGTTGTGCTTCTGATTTTACTCTCAACTCACAAGATATTTGTGCCCCTCTCGCTCTCTCTCTCACGCAAAATAATAATAGCAGTGGGAGGAATAAGGATTGTCCCATTGTTTTTGCCTAGTAGTAGCTCTGAATTTTGTCTGCATAATAGATGGGCTTTTTCCCTTCTCACGTGAATCCTGAATGCTTTTCTATTTTTTCCCCCCTTAGGCTGCAATCCCTTTTTAAGTGGTCTTTCTGATCAAGTGCGTTTTAACTAGGTGTTTTGCATTATTTGGGTGATTTTGCTTTATCTGCATTGTTTCTTTACAAGTTGGAACCGAATTAAATGTTTGCATTGTTTGCATTGTTTATATGGAAGTTACAAAAGAATTAAATTTTGAAAAATTGTT